AGACTCACCGATTCCGTACAGGCGATTCACTGTACAGAATCGTCCGGTTCTCTTTAAAACCGGACGATTTTCGATTTTTTAGTCGATCCGGTCCCTTTTTCACGATTTCCGAGTCGAATCGGGCGAGTCCGGTTCGACTCGGCGTTTTTTAAAATGGGAAGAAGTGCTGCAGATGCTTGTTTTGGAACACGAGGGCTCAAGTTCAGAAGGCCATGAAGAGCGGCAGGGAGAGAAGGCTAAGTTTTTTTTCTTCTCTCTCTCTCTCTCTCTCTCTCTATACATCCCGTCCCCAAAACTGGAATTTGATCGCTGATAAGCTAGAAGGGAGATCAGGTATTCAGTTTTCAGCCATTCTTTTAGTGAGAGAGAGGGAGGGAGAGATTCTAGAGAGAAAAACTGGGAAGATCAAGTGAGAGAAAGGGGTGTTTTAATGGCTTTTATATTTGGGGTTTCTCTTTTTAAGCAGTTGGATCCAAGGATAAATCGTAGAGATTTTAGTGAAGAAGAGGAGGAGAAATTGCTGGTGGCTCATATGAAGTTCAAAAAAAGAAGAAGATTAATGGAACTCATTGATTGTATGGCAATATATCTTTCTGAAGTTTCTTCCTTCTCTCATTGCTGTAGATGTTGTGTTCCTTGCTGGATGGGTGCTTGATCCATCAAGTCATCCATGGAATCCAACTTTGGAGCATTATACTGGATATAAGGCATTGAATTTGAAAGCATGGTTTTCGCATTACAAATTAATCGTAATGGCTGCACTCTCAATGCTATCAAAGAGAAGAATCAGCAGACCAAGTTTCAGTGCGCAACCAATCTTCCTTCGCAGGAACTACTTAGAAGACGGGTTTTACCTGAGTTGTACGCGCGTGGGCGTACCGTAGTGTTTCCCAAAGGCCTGTCTGGTATTTCGAACCCAAAGGGGTTTTAATTTTGTAAAGTAAAAATATCTTGTACGGTATTTTAAATATCGGATAAAAAACTTAAAAATTTAAAGAGTTATATGGTAACTTGAACACTAGACAGTTATTTTTCATTTAAACATAAAAAAACCTACCTAGTGATAGTTTACCGTACTGTATAAAGAGGATAACTTGAAAAATTAAAAAAGATTCGAAAAGAATGGGTACTGCTCATAATTTGTGATAAACCTGATCCCATTTTATAATTAATCGTAGTGTCATTTTATAATTGACTCTCACGATCCGTATGTAAATCTCTCTAAACTTTGTTTCTCAAAGAGATTGTGGGGTTTGCAGAACATAAATCTATGAATAAAACACTTTGCCATACTATGGGGTGGCGGCGGCTTTAACTTTACCAAAAGAGACCAACTGTGGATAGACATCTTGAGATCCAAATATAAAATTTCACTCTCTCCATGGGTTCAGAGATGAGAACTTATGCTAGAGCATCGGGGGTTCAGAGATCTATTATCTCGACCTTTCACTCTTTCAATAAAGGTCTTAGATTCTATCCAAAAGAAGAAAACATGGTTCAGTTCTGGTTAGATCTATGGTTTGGCCAACAAACTCTCAAAGATCAATTCCCAGAATTATTCTCATTGGCGATAAACCAAGGAGCAACAGTTCCTGAAGAAATGATCTAGACAGGAGCTGTCAGATCATGGCACCCCAACTTCAGGAGAGACCTTTTTGATGAAGAGATTACTCTCTTTTTAAACCTCTCTCATTCTCTCTCCTTTTGTTTCGTAGCTCTTCAAGGTCTGGACATGTTGGTTTGGACTCCCTCTGCCTCAAGAGTTTTCTCAATCTCATCCTTCTACTTGTTTCTCTCCCAACCCCCAACTTTTCCTTTGCATCCGACTTCTTGAATGGCGCAAGCTTGGAACTCGTTCGCCCCTCCAAGTTTACAGTTTTTTTCATGGTTAGTGCTTTATGTAAAAGTCCTAATTGTGGACCAACTCTAGAGGAGAGGCTTCTCAATGCCTAACCGCTGCTCCTTGTGCTTCAATGATGAGGAATCGAACGCTGCTCCTTGTGCTTCAATGATGAGGAATCTAACTCTCGCCTATTGTTATCTTGCCCCTTAGCTTTTAAAGTGTGGGGTAAAATTTTGTCACTCTTCTAAATTCAATGGGTCACTCCCAAAGATGCAGCAGCAATCCTCGGTGCCATAGAACCTTTCCCGAGGCCCAAATTAGGGATTCAGCTTTGGAAAACGGCAGGAGCAGGAACTTTATGGGCGCTCTAGTTTGAGTGAAACCAGAGGATCTTTAGAGGAGAATCCTCAACCCCAAACCTCCTCATCGCCAAAATCAAAGCAAAACTGATTTTTTTGGGCTTCAAACCACAAAATTTTCCAAAGCATGACCCCATCAGCTGTCCACCAGAAATAGAATGCGTTACTCAACCATTCGAAAAGAAAAGTATCTAGAGCCTCATACTGGAGCCCGCCTGACCTGGGACATTTCAAACTAAACTTCGATGGGTGGTCTTTAGGGACACTTCAAACTAAACTTCGGTGGGTGTTCTTTAGGGAATCCAGGTCCCTCAAGAATTGGCGTCATCCTTAGGAACCACCTAGGGGAGCCAATAGCAACTATCTCCAAATTCACAGGCCACAACGAATCAATGGAGGCAGAAGCTTTGGCACTACTAGAGGGCAACATAGGATTGAATTGGTAACTGTAGGGGGAGACTCCAAGAACGTCATCACCTGGGCCCAGAACTCCTCCTCCTCCCCTTGGACTTTATTTCACATCTTTGAAAAAATATCCTGCATTTGTAGGGGACTTCGGGTCGTATGGAAGCACTTGTGGAGGGAAGCAAAACGCAGACACCCTGGCCAAAGCAGCAGCAACTGGTGAAGGAGTTCCTTGATTTTGTTTAACTCTCTTCCTGAAGGACAACTTGTTTTGGATGGGTTTCTTTTTCTTGATTGCTTTGTTTTCAATGTAACTATAAAAAGGGTGGCCTTTTAATTCTGCCCATCGCTCCCCCTCTCTCTCTCTCTCCTCCCCCCTGTACCTTTGCTAGCTTCCTGTGGCCAGGTACTACTTTCTTGTCCTGTTGGGACTCTTTACTATATATATAAAAGTCGAACATTACCGGAAAAAAAAAAAGAAAGAAGTTTCCCCTAAAAACTGCACTTTACCCTTCCCCCTCCCTCCACTTTACCTCTATAAAGGAGCGTCAGTGGCACCCCAGGAGATCTCTATTCATTCTTTCTTTCACTGTTTCAGAGAATCCGTTTACTTTCACTGTTCCTCGAACTCACTCTCCCCTTCATTACCCTGTTCTGCATATAGATAGCCTTTTTTCTCTCTAATGCTATCCATTCTCATCCCTCTCTTTATTTCATCTTACAAACACTACTCTTTTCACTCGAGCCTTCCCTCGCAGAGGCTCCCTCTTCCTACAACTACTCTCCCTCTTCCACTAAGCCATCTCATCAATGGCTCATATAATTAGCCTGCTTTGCTGTTAGCAAGACTCAAAGTCAGCAAAGAAATCAAAGCTAGACACTGGAACACCCTCAACCCTTTGCTTCACATGCCCCGGCCCCTACCCATACCCATACCCTGCATGGTAGATTAGCAAGACTTGTAGATCTGCAGTTGGTGTGAAAGGAACACTAGAAAATTTTGAAGACCTGAGGTTCAGGAGGATCACAACCTGGTACACTGCTATTTTTATTTAAAAAGTTGTCGGTAGGTCCTCCCAAAGCTGCCAAGGGCTTCTTAGCCTGGAGTGACGTACGTGCTGATTGCTAGTTCAGCCCCTTACCTTCAGGGGACGCATAGGAACTACTTGCTGCTCGAATGAAGGAAGGCGAAGCCAATCACTCTAGGCACAAAGGCAGCAGTGACCAAGGAGAAAGAATTCCATGGCCAAAGGTCCGTTTCTCCCAACCAGAAAAAGTTGGGCTGTTTTTTTATGTGATCCTTTTCTCTTCTCTTCTCTTCTATGTTCTCCCTCTTGTATTTCTCTACCTCATTTCCCTCTCTCCTTCTTCTCTATTACGATAATTGTATACAGAGAACCCAAAATGTGGGATGCTTTTCTTATATATAAAGTTAACCTTCTTCAAAAAAGAATTACCAACAGCAGATAAAACAAACTCTTCAAAGCATTTTACAGCCTTAGAAGATTGAGATTTAGGAACTTCAGCAAATGAGTGTTGGCAAGATCAAGATGAGCCCAATATACAAATCATGTTTTATATGAGTATAAGATTATAGCTCAATGCAACAATAAGGGAAAAAGACAGTTGCAGCACAAAAGATATGAACAAAATACACAAAATTAAAGGATCATAAGAAGAAAATGACTTTCTAGGGAAAATATTATTATTTGCAAATCCGCCTTATACATATCAAAGTAAGGAATTGAATAATTCTCATTATTCTCCAGCTCTTAGAAGCTACAAGAGAGTAAACAAGGCCCTGTTTGTTCTTGAACAGGAAGAGAAATCACATAGAAGGTGGAAAGCCAGAGAAGAATCACAATTGCTCTCTTATACTTGAATTATACAAGTGCGTCTGCTCCGGCAATGATCTCGAGAATCTCGCCTGTGATCTTGGCCTGCCTCTGCCTGTTGTACACTATGGACAGCGATCTCGTCAACTCGATGGCATTGTCTGTCGCATTGCTCATGGCTGTCATTCTGGCTGCCAGCTCGCTTGCAAGAGACTCCTGCAGGGCCCTTAGTATCTGACTGTTCAGATAAAGCGGCAGCAGCGCGTCCAAAATCTGCACAGGGTCCTGCTCAAACTGCAATATCGGGGAGAACTCTGGTGTCGGGGTCCTCACCACGTCCCTCTCCACTGTGAGCTTCCCCTCTCTAGTTGTCAGCCTGAAGAGCTCATCCTCTGCCGCGTCCACACAAATCCCGTTGACGTCGCAGACCTCGCCTTTTGGAGAGAGGGGAAGCAGAGTGTGGATCACCGGCTCTGATTTCACAAGAGAGACGAACTTTGTATAGAGCAATTCAACCTTGTCAACTTCCTCACTCACAAAGAGAGAGAAGACATCATCGGCGATGGTTTGGGCTTCTTTGGCAGTCGGGAGGTTCCCGCCCTCAAGAAATCGGTCGACCGGGATGTAAGGGCGGCGTTGGAAATATGAATTGCCCTTCTTCCCAACAGAGATGACAGTGTAGGCAACGCCAAGCGACCGCAGGTCGGCAATACGGGCCTCGGCCTTCTTGATGACGGCGTTGTTGAACCCGCCGCACAGGCCACGGTCACCTGTGACAACAACCAGGGCGACCTTCTTGACGGGGCGAATATTGGTGAGGGGGACATCGACATCCTCAGTTTGGAGCTGCTCGTTGATGTTGTAGAGGACCTCCACCAGGGTTTCCGAGAAGGGGCGGCCATTCACCACGGCTTCTTGGGCACGACGCACCTTGGCAGCAGCAACCAGCTTCATGGCCTCGGTGATCTTTTGGGTGTTTTTGACGGAATCAATGCGCTCCCGGAGCTCCCGGAGGCCGCACACGATTGTTGCTGTCCGGGAGCGCTGGGAATGGCTCTTCGACAGATGGTGTGAGGTCTTGGGGGAGAAGAGTGCGAGGTTTGAGCAGGCCATTGTGGATGGTGGTGCGGATTAGTTGCAGAGCATCAATTATGGTGGATTTGAGGGAAATGCAGAGCTAAGTTGGAGAGTTGCAGAGCTCTGAGGTTCAGAATTATCTTTGTTAGCAGGAGAGGAGACGGAAAAGTTTAGGGTTTTGTGTGGGGGAGATGGGAGGGAAATGTGAGGCTTGCGCGGTTTGGCGTTTGGATTGGGGATAAGGAGGGTGCGACCGTTGAGCTTGTGGGCACCCTTTTTACTTTCCAATTCCTCAAATACCTTCCTTTCTTTTCTAATTTTGACCCCCCTCTCAATAAAGGAAACAGTTTTATATAGGGTGTCAACCTTGCACTATCGCCAGCCCAAATCCTTACCACCTTTAACTTACTTATCCAAATAAAACATACACTCTACACCTAAAAAGCTCAGTTAATTATATGCTAGAAATCGATTATTTCGACCTTAAGATTCATAGACAATAAAAAAACAAAAAAAAAAAAGATTTCTAGCCCTAAAAAAAGTTCATATTCTAACAAATTATTTGGATTGTCAATTTTCAAAATTTTAAAGTGTTTATAGATCTATTTGATCGTCACTGTTTTTGGAACTTTAGATTTCATAATTGAGAACAACAATAGATTTTCATATTATAGCAAGGGCTTATGGCACTGAAATTGTATTTTCGGCACAATTTTGAGGTGCACCTTACTTCAATAGTATAAGGTTGGCACCTTATACAAAACCTCACCCCTCAATAAATAGTGGCAAGAAGTCGGTGTTTGTTAAGATACAATTTCTTTAGAAAAGGAACTTCGTTTTTGCTGGGAGGGACCCTTTATTTTCTAAAGGAAAAAGTTTATATAGTGCTGGGGCTCTAAACAATCAAATTTGAACCGACCTAAAAAATTTCACTAGAAGAGGTTGTTTTGATGCTCAAATGTCATCAAATTGATCATCTCGACATCAAGATGCATGGACATCAGAAAAAACATGGATTTCAAGTTTTGGAAATAATGTATTTTGTAACGAATTTTTGGACCATCAATTTTCAAAATTTTCAAGTTTTCATAGATCTGTTGATCTATACTATTTTTTAAGCTTTAAACTTTATAAATAAAGATGAAAATGTATTTTAAAACTATCACAAGGATTTCCAGTATTGAAACCACATTTCTCAACACTATTTGAAGGTAGTCTCTAAGTTGATTATTTAGAGCATAGGCTCTATACAAACCACACCCTTTTCTAAAAGAGTTAAATAAGTCTTTTGGTACTTCTTCTGGAATGTTAAAGAAATTCTGGGTAACTGTGTTTGATTACCTACTGACATGACCTGTCAACTCAGTTTAAACCATTTGCAACCAAAAAATATTAGAGATGGAACTATATTCTACAAACATCTATTGGGTATTTGATCCGACAGTCTATTTTAATTAAACTTTTCCTAAAGTACGACATTCAAGTTTTTCGGGTACAATTGAGTCTTTGGTTTAAACACCGGTTGCAAATATAATTATTCTTCTACAAAAAACAAAAACTTGTTCTAAGCATACAGCTGAAAGACTACAAACCAGGGATTGATGCACAAAACCAGGTTTCTTGAAACAATTAATGTTTGAAGATTCACTTTCTATTAAAGGTTGGTGAGGAATTATAGAGTCTATCATGCTTAAGCTCCGATTTGTGTACAAATGGTATGCATTTTACTTGTTCTTCAGTTTTGACGTCAATGAAATTCGTTTGACAGTACAAATAATTGTAACAATGTAAGCTTCATAGGAGAAACCAATATAGTAATTGTACTCGAACCATCATCAGGCATGATAACATGATCACAATATTTCTTTTATGCAATAAATTATCACGGGTAAAGGAGTGCTTAAGCATTTAATTACACAAAAAGAATAAGTGATGTAATGATCTCAGTGTCGCCTTTAAGTTTTCGAAAACAACTCGAAAAGATTTATTCTTTCTAACAACATATTCAAAGTATCTCCATTATTTATAAAAATTATGTTTGGTATTCAACTGATAGGGTTTTTCCAAATGCCATAAATTCACAGGAAAATAAAAAGAATTCAGTTGAATTTCTCCAATATTGGTAGAAATCGATAGTGGCCCTGTATAACCTAGTGGATCAATAATTTGCATGACAAGAACTTATCCCAAAAAATGTAGCAAGAAGAACGCAACTCTAGAGCAAAAAAATTTATTTGATTTCTCCAACATATTTACAAATACAAAACTTCCCGCAATTTCTGAACTAACCAAGGAAGTAGTGATAACACTAAATTTGACACGTATAATGTAGCAAGGAAGTACCAATTCATCCAATTGCCACCTCTAGAGAGAAAATATTCATTTTAAATGTTAAGCTCTAACTGATTTGAAATTGCAGTTTGGTTAGTGAAAAAAAAATACTTCATGTTCTGTTGGGCATTGTGGGTTTTTCTAGATTGAAATTTGAAGATTTTGTGTGAGAGTTTGTGGAAGAGAGAGTAGAGAAAGGAGGAGAGAGAGGACGCTGTGAGAGAGAGCAGAGGAGAGAGAGAGGTTGATTATGGGGAGAGTGATGAGAGGTCGGATGAGGGGGGCGACACAGAAAGAGTGATGAGCAATGGTTTACAAAACGGATCGGTGACCCGGATCAGGCTTTCAAAAAACCGATCCGGATCGGCGAATCGGCGATCTGGAT